CTTTGAATAATAAACTTTTAATTTTAATAAGTGAAATTTTTCCAAAAATAATAATTATTAAGAAAACAATTTATGTATAAATGCTAGTATAAAAATAAACATATGGCAGTTTTCACGTCAAATGTCCATCCAAAAAAAATGTTGATGAATAATCAATCCCCAATTTTTTTATGAGTTGTCCTATAAGTTTGTAATTTAACAGCCAAATATTTTTGAATTTTATAAAAAATTACCAATCGTTTCATTGTAACAACAACCAAGCTACAGTATTTACGGTAGATTGTTACTACAAAAAGAAAGATAAAACCAAGCATAAGAGTATGGCGATTATCCCAGATAATCTAACACATGACACTGCTGCGGTTTATTCATATCAAAAAATAATACTTGATTATTTGAAATCGAAGTATGAAGTGAAAAAAGTATATTTATCTAACTGATGGAGCTGGTCAACAGTTTAAAAGTAAAGGCATGTTTGCTAATCTTTTAGCACACGAAAAAGATTTTAAAATTCCAGCAGAATGTCATTTTCATGCCACGGCTCATGGGAAAGGAGCTTGTGATGGGGTAGAGGCAAATTTGAAAAAGGAAGCTGCACGAGTAAGCTTGCAAAGTTTTGATGGCAGAAATCACATTTTGACTCCTGAATCCCTATTTCCACGGAGCAAAAAACATTGCAGGGAATCACAAGTTTTTCAGTAAGAAAGCAGACCAGGAATTAGATTTTAAAAAAATAGAAAAACGATTTAAAAACGCCGTCACAATAAATGAATAAATGGAACAAAAAAATATCATGCCTTTATACATACGAAAGATGGTAAATTTCTTCTGAAAAAACTTCATTAGAGGCAAAATATGATGTGTTTGCGGAATAAAAGGTTGCTGAGAAAAAATTTCAAAAAAATGGTTTAATAAAAGGTTAAAATAAAAAAGTTCAGAAAAGAATGAGAAAATAATCAAAGGTAAAAACTAAATAAAAATGATAAATACATGATTTTGTAGCCTTTTTATTCATTGTTAAACTTTAAGGAAAAATAACAGAATCATAAAATATTATTAAAAAAATTAAAAATATACTAACGCCCGAAATTGAGTAAATAACTTTGACTCTCTGCAATAATCGAGAAAAAAAATTGGAAAAAAATTTCGTTTTTGCTGGGTATTCTTTGGAATGTTAGCTTTAAATACATTCCAAAAACAATAAAAAAGGTCAACGGTTTCTCAAAATATTAAATAATTAGTGCGAGCATGCGAATAGAAAAAATATCGTCCGCCCGCGGCTCAAATTCGCAGTGTCGCTGGCTCCTTCATTCGTAAACTTATTGTATGTATTTTAATATTAACATTCCTAAGCACGAATTATTCCTATTTTTATAGAATTTGAACTGCTTATAATATAAATATTAATAGTAAAATACATACAATAAGTTTATGAATAAAGGAGCCAGCAACACTGCGAATTTGAGCCGCGGGCGGACGATATTTTTTTTATTCGCATGCTCGCACTAATTATTTAATATTTTGAGAACCCGTTGACCTTTTTTATTGCTTTTGGAATGTATTCAAAGCTAACATTCCAAAGAATAACCATCAAAAATGAAATTTGTTTCCAATTATTTTCCTCGACTGTGCGGAGAGTCTTTTAACTGTTTAACATTTAGGCTCAGAGAATCTCCCTTGGAGTTGGAATATAGTCGTAATTTTTATTTACTGATATTGGGGTGTATTCCTCAACAGACTCCATTCTAGAGTGAAGAGCCTAGACCATGAAAAGGTTTTAGGTTAGAAACTTGTCATTTTTATCTCAAGATTGGAGAAACTGTAAAACAGATTTTTGCGTTTTATTGCCTGCAGATCGGGGACACCTCACAATTACTTCCACCATGATTATACTGAACTTCGAAAAATGTTTAAAATTAGTGAGTTGTCGCTGTTATTTTTCTATAATGATTTGCTTTTTTTATATAAAAAATTGTAAATAGATTATATATCTGCTCTAATTTGCTTGCTTCATTAAATTTTTATGCTCCTTACAGGACATTCAGTAGTGTGGCAATGTTTAAGTTGGGTTTCCACAGAACGCAGTATGGGGAAAATTCCTTAATTAATAGAATTTGTAAGGAAGCCAGCAGCTTAGGAAACTCACTAAATTTCTTCGAAAAATCAATTTATAAATTTAAAGCGAATTTGAGAAGGCACATCTTTGACGTTGGTAATGATGAAAATAAGAATGAAACTTAAAATATTGAAAGTCTATAACGCCCTTGATTTGTTTTCTGTTGTTAACTTAGTATTAATTAGTATTATTTTTTTTGTTAAGTACATTGTACAAAAGGGTCTAGAGACGGTCAAGATATGCACTTGTTCCAAATCTAAAATACTATTTGAGTACTATACTACTCCTTTTTAAAGAATTTAAACATCTCAATTTTTTCAAATTCTATAAGGAAAGAAATTTTATAAAATTAATTTATTTTTTACTTTGCTTTCATAATAATTTTTTAATGTAAGTTATTTATTTCAATGTAATTATTACCTTCATCCACGACTCCATTGTATTCATTTGACCATTTAATTCCAAGTCTAGAATCGTAGTCAGAATGTTCCACAATTTCTTATAAATAAAGTAATCCATCGACTATTTGACTTTGAATATTCGACATGAATCGTAACGTTATTTCGAGTTGCGCATTAGACATGTTAATCGACATTCCTTTTGTAATATAATTCGACATGTATGTAGAAAATAGTATTTGCAATTAAATATAAGAAAAAGTAAGTTTCTATCAATTTTAAATTTGAGAAATAAAAAATTTTGTAAATATTTTACTCACTTAATAGATTCTCTTAAAAATCAAAATTATTACACTACAATCCACGAGTATCAGGACGATTGCAAGCGACTCTACGAAAAAACATGCCATCACTTTTTCAATCATATCTTGGAAATAAAAGGAGATACAAAAAAAACTTCAATACGGTTAGAAAGTTTATTAAATTTTGCGTATAATAATCCGACTTTTTGAAGTCATTTCGTTAAATATTTTTTCAGTTGTAGAGTGAGAAAGAAATAAAAAAAATTATCAAATTTTCTCATTCTGGTCTTTTGACTTAAACTTTTTTAATAATTTAGATAAATTTTTTTTTAAAACGCAGAAATCTTCGTTGGAATTTCAGTTTTAAAATAAGCCTTCGAAAATTAATAAATGTTAACCGTCATTGATTTATCATTAAAAATGTGAAGCCGTGTTGCGACCGATCGGTGCATTGAAATTCAACTGTGACGACTCGATTCTGGCTTCGCGCGGCGGCGAGTAGGAGAGACAGCAGGGACGGTTTATGCGGGGGTATAATAAATAATGACGTTTTACGAAGCATATAAAGAAACTTGAAAGTTCATCGTTCCCCATCATCAGTCCGTCGCTTCTTTCTCTCCCATTCCCAGCCGCGCGAAGCCAGAATCGAGTCGTCATAGTTGAATTTCAATGCAGCGATCGGTCGCAACACGAATTCACATTTTTAATGATAAATCGATGACGGTTAATATTTTTTATTTTTCAAAGGCTTATTTTAAAGCTGAAATTTCAACGAAGATTTCTGCGTTTTTAAAAAAATTTCATCTAAATTTTTGAAAAAGTTTAAGTCAAAAGACCAGAATGAGAAAATTTTATAATTTTTTTTATTTCTTTCTCACTCTACAACTAAAAAAAGTAGTTAACGAAGTGACTTAAAAGGAGGCTTATTTTACGCAAAATTCAATAAGCTTTCTAACTAGAGATGGAACATCGACAACAAAACATCGATGTTGTTCAACATCGACATCGAAAAAATGTAACATCGAAAGACATCGATGCATCGATAGAAAAACATCGAAAATTTAAAACCTCAAAAATTATTTAATTCGCTATAGCGGAGCTAAAACAGTTCTATAGAATTTTACTAAAATCAATCTATATAAATTCTAGTGAATATTCTGTAGAATTTCACTAGAACGAATCTATAGAATTTCTACATGATTTCTACTAACTAAGTTTAACGAATTATATAAATTTAAATGATTTAAAGAATTTTTACCTAACAGTTATCATTCAAATCAAACATAAAATTTAATTACAATATTATATAAAGTTAAAACAAATAATTTCACGAATTCTAACTATAATATTATCATTTTATTCATTGCTGATGTCTTGTTAACTCAAGAATAATCTGAAAACATAAGTTGTTCGTTATATTATTTTTTAAACTTATATCTACACCTACAAAACAAAATGTCAATCTTTATAAATACAGTACTAGAATAATTATAAACATTTGATTTTAATTAAAAATCAATCAACAAAAAGATAAACATTGATTCTCAACATCAAAACAGTAACATCAATTCTTTAAAAACATCGAATCTGAAACATCGATGTAAAAACCATCGACATCGAAAAGGAAACATTCGATGTCGATGTTCCATTGTTCCATCTCTATTTCTAACCGTATTTGAGTTTTTTTGTATCTTTTTTTGTTTCCGAAATATGATTGAAAAAGTGATGGCATGTTTTTTTCATAGAGTCGCGTGTAATGGTCCTGATACTCGTGGACAGTAGTGTATTTATTACGAAATTAATGGTTATACACGTCAAATTATTTCTTTGTACGAAATGAATTTTTTGACGATTAGTCAATATTCACAATAAACAATTGCTGTATATTCTAACTCTCATAAAACGTATTTAACTGTATACAACTTTTCATTTGTACATAATGATATGTACAGTATCAGTGCAAAGTTGCCTTCCTAGTTTGAACGTGTCACACTCATATGTTTCCATGGAAACATATGAGTGCGACACGTTCAAACTAAAAAGTCATCTTTGCACCCTACCGTACAAGTTTACTCATATTATCAAAAAAAAATAAACCTTTTGTGGATTGATTGGCTATTCAATGATTTATGGTTTCGAGAAAATTTATACCCCCTGTCATACCTCTTCAGATTCCAGTACTTCCTACATATCACTTTCATCCTCAGTATTCTGGTTAGTGTCATCTTCATCAGAGGAATCATCGTCTTCAATTTCTGCCACTTTACTACAGGAATCATCATCATTTCTACGTATAGGAAAAAATTAAATATTATTCTTTAATTATTTTTAAAAAATGTTAATAATTATTTCCTTGAAAAATTCGAATATAAAATAGGACACGTCACGGAGAAAGAGATATAGAAACCAAAATCTTAAAGATTATATTTGTTATCTCCGTATATACCTTGAGTAAGGGATTCTTTTTAATTTTGTAAAATAAAAAAATGTGTTATGAAAAATATAACCTACAAAATTTTGCTTTTTATATGTTCTTTTTTTCGCAAAAGCGTTGGAACATTATGTACAATTGAATTTCGTATTAACATTATTTGTGCTATTTTTGACAATACGTACTTCAAATTTTTGAGGACATTCATCTAAAAATATCATGGGTTGAAAATAGGGAAAATCACTATATTCCTCTGGAGCTTTCGATCCCAACGGTATATATTTCTTTGTTTTCGCTCACTCTTGCCTATATTCATCTCTTATTTTCTCCCATGCTTTTGTAATCCTTTAACTAAAAAAACAAAGTTCACTTAAATAATTCGCGAGGAACGTAATTTTAATTGTGTAATAAAAGATGTTAAATGAAAATTATGTTTATTGGAAACTCAAAATTTGTAATAAGAATTTAAAAATTTTGTCAATAATTAAAATCTTTATTGAATTAAAATTTAATTTTTGTTTACTGTAATACAAGAAATTAATAAATGTGTTGTAAATTGTATATAATAAACATTTAGTTTAATAAACATTTTACGTAATATTAAATCCAAAAATACTAATACACTTCCTGTGGTAGAAGTGTAGAACACATGGCTTTAGCGATTTTCTGACAAGCTTTTCTTTTCTTCGTTTTATTTTTATACGATTCTGAATTCCTGTTGTAAATTTGTGTACACTATCCGAATAAGTAAATTAATACTTTATAATATTCGGCTTGAAATTCTGCCATTGATAGTTCGGGAAATAATTTATTTTTAAGAATATGAATTGCCAAAACATAAAGGTACGAAAAACAAGATTATACAGTAAAATGCCTAAAATCTGTCGTGCTGTAAGAAAATATTTAGTTTGTCACTTCTGTTTCATTTGTATCCAACTTCATTGTTGATATTCAATTAAATATAACTGTGCATTTCGATCAAATTACTAAACCGAAAATGTGGCATTCAATTAGCAAGCAGTTTGAAAATATGGGAATTCAAACTACAGGTATAAATTTGATTTTCAATTTTTATTTAATTGCAGTGAAAAGTGACACTAGTTTTTCTATTAAAGCTCCATGTGAAAATAAGAATTAATTTGACTTCCGTTTAATTGCATTTTCTTTTAAAATGCTTTTCATTCGGCACTCATTCTGAAGTATGATCCAGGTATAAACAAACACAAACATAACCTACATTTACTTAAACGCATCTTTCTTCAGAACAGTTCACAATATTTCAACTAGTTAAAATTTACCATAATAAATGTTCAAACAAGGAAAAAATTACAATTCTATTATTAAATTGAAATAAACTGACGCGACAGGCAAATTATTACAAATAAATTGCCAACCGTTTTACAAGCGTTACAGGTTTTCTTTTACAACTATTATGTTGCAAAACTAACCATTCATGTAGGTGCTTTACTGACTGTGCAAGAAGTCAAATTATTTTGGAGAAAAGCACGCTTACCGACAAGAGATGATCAACATTACACAAAAACATTGAAAATTGTATCACAAGTGGGTGTTGATTAAAAAGTATAATCAGCAGGCGACAACAGCACAGTGGAATAAAGAAATTGAGTTCAACAAACTTTGTGTCAATTTTATTTAATATTGACCATGCAGATGTTTCATCTTGTGATGATGTTTTGGTAGCGGGATTACAAAAAAATTCGATAGTAATAAATGATGTGGCAGAGAGAGGTGTCAAATTAAGCTCCGATTTTAATAAATTAATTACCAGAGACGAGAAAAAGAAGCAGTATTAACTGCAAGTTATTAAAGAATACAGTAAGCAGTTCCCAGATTCTAACAAACAGACACAATCAAAAGCAATGATGTACATAAATAAAAATGTTTTTATATAACATTTTCATTATAATAAATTGTTTACAATTTTTACTCGATAATTACGTCTTACATTAAATCTTACCTCACCAAAAAAAATAAAATGTGCAATTAAAAAAATCAGTATTTGTGTTATTTATTCAAAATAATATTAAAAATTTGATATTTGATCAAACATTTGATAGAGATACGTGAACTAATTTACCAAAGGGTTTGTTTAAAACATTTCAAAATGTTCTCATTGTTAACACTAACTTTAATTTTATTGAACACTAATGTGATGCATGCTATTTTGTATGAGCGAGAATCCGAAAGCGATATCATAGGTGGATTTATGGATGGGAATCATTTTAAAAATAATGAATTTCTGCAGATATTAAAACATGCAATTAGATTATAAATTTATTGTGATGACATAGAAATTGTTAATCCGTTGGGTTCAAAAGCAGGTTTTCACAAATTGTGCATTTGGTACGTTAGAATACAAAACTTTCCTGTCCACATGAATTCCAAGAATAATAATATACACGTTTTATATAAATGTCACACCGCGGATGTGAAAAAAATATAGTTACGAAAAAATCTTAAAGCCATTTCTCAATAATTTTGAGCATTTAGAATATGAAGATGTTGTCGTAATCATTAATGAAGAAAAATTTGTTCTTAGAGCAACTGTCGTAGCATTTTGTAGAGATGGTTTAGCTGTACACGACGTACCTACATAATTTTCCAAGTTCAGCAGCAAATAAATTCTGCAGAATGGGCATAATCAGTAGAAATAATTTACTTTCAGGTGAAACTATGCCTAAGAAAATTCGAACTAAAAAAATTTATGAGCAATATTTAAATTTAATTGAAAACACAAAAAAAACGGAAAAATTGAGAAAGAAGTTAAAAAGATAAAGAAGTTCGCGATAAATGCTGCCTTTAAAATTCTCGCTTCTTTAAACTTTCCAAAAACAAAATATTCAACATTATGCATGATACTTTATTAGGAGTAGGTCCTATGACCTTGAACCTAATAATCAATCGATTTGTTGTTGAAGAAAATGTTTTCACAGTTGATTACCTTAATGGTAAAATTTCTGTTTTTTCATACAGTGAATTAGAGAAAAAACAAACCATCTGCAAAATTTAAATAATTCTAATATTCAAACATCCACGATCATTCGCTCAGCCAAAAAGACATGCAAATGTGGTCTTTTTATGACATTTTCCATTCCACGTATCTGAAAAAGTACCATCAGAACATCCGCATATGTGCTTGCTGATACAGCTTTTACAAGTCATAGAAACCTTTTTTGCACCCAAACTTACTAAAAGTTTAATGCTCTTGTTGGAAGACTTAATCAAACATTTTTTATAAAATTTTTAACTACTTATTCCAGATGTAAATTATATTAATAAATTTCACCACATGTCTCATTAACCAGAGTGTATTGAGTAGTCTGGATCTCTCATACTCTTGTGGTGTATAAGTTATCAGAGAAAGCATGGGCCATGATATTTTGCATACAATATAACTTCTGGCAATTTGAATTCACAGCAAGTTTAAATGTTGAAAGTATCAAATTCATAAAATCATAAAAAACGTTCTCAAATATTTATCCAAACCTATAATCGTAATGAGAAAAAAGTTAGAGAAATAGTCAAAATTCATTTTCGTACCAACCGGAACTTGATATCTTGCATAAAAGAAAATTTATAATTGTTATAATTGGAATTGTTCTAGCAGTAGTTTGAGACCAGCAAAAAAATTTTGTACCAACAATTGTTAGTAAGCAGAAGATAAAGTTTGCTCAAAATATAATTTTCATATTTGGCTAATTATCGGCTGTGGTTACTTTTTAATTTGTAAATTAAATTAATTTTGATGACTTAGATAATTATTGAAATTGTTTTAGGTATAGTTTGGGACTAGTAAAAAAAATTTTGTCTAACTATTGTTAGTAAACAGAAGATAAAGTATGCTCAAAAAAATTTTTTTTCATCTTCTGCTAATTTTCGGCTGTGGTTTTCTTTTTATGAATTGTGAATTAAATTAATTTTGATGGCACAGATATTACTTGTTATTGTTCTTGCCATAGTTTAGGAACAGTTTATTATCTTTGTGAATTAACAAAATTTTCTGAAATTTTGCGTGTTAAAGATTTTTAAGTAAATTTTTACTTAGAATTAAAAAAAAATTTTTATCTCATTGCCATATAAAAATCTCTTAAGAAAGAAAATTTTTTGGTTTTTATTTCTTATTAACTTTTTTTTATTTGAAAGTTTAAAAAAAAGTTTATAGCTGAAGTTGTGTTATTCAGCCAGAAATTCTTTTACTTTTTAACTGGATTTTTATAAATATTGACCTGGACAATCCTGAGAAAAGCCTGGAATTTTTTATTTATCATTTTGTGACATCCATGATAATTTTTGCACAAATTTTTCAGTTTTTTATAAATTCTTTTTTTGTGATTACGCATGTGCACTCATTTTTATTGTTAATAGGCATGATTGTTAATTATCTACATACACAAGAACGAGAAACTAGAGCGCGCGTTTTTAGCTAGTCTTAAATAATATAGAATGTAATGTCCTCTTCGAGGTTTATTTTTGCTGCATTGCGTACTGGTATTTTTTGTGATTATTCCCCAAATGTCATTTGATCGAACTGGCATTTTACCGAATTGCATTTATCCGAACAGTTATTTTAACGAAATGTCACTTTTGCGAATAGACATTTTTACGAATTGTCACTTTTGCGAAAAGTCATTTTTGCGAAATATCATTTTTACGAATTGTCATTTATGCGAACTGACATGTTTTCGAATTGTCATTTTCTCGAAAATTGCTATAGTAAATCTATATATGCATACAAGTTTACTATAGCAATTTTCACAAAAATGACAATTCGCAACAGTGACATTTCGTAAAAATGACAATTCGAAAACATGTCAGTTCGCATAAATGACAATTCG